GTTCTGGATATGCTTTACAGTAAAAGTGGCATCACAACCACTCGGGGAGAGCCTATAGGCCAAAACAACCAGTTGACCAATCAACACAGGACAGGTCGCCCAAGTCTGGAGGCACACCAATCCTGAGATTGTTTCATACCCCTAGACACTCACCTTGCATACCCCAATAAGTTTCCTGCCTCTAGTTTCTCCAGGTCTTCTCATGCCAGCCACCATGTTGGACAGACGAAGGGTCCAGGTTAAGGCAGTTAACTCGTTAAAAAAAAAAAAAAAAAAAAAAAAAAAAAAGACGCTTCGCTTTTGCATTGGAATGGGTCTTTTGGTGATTTGGGGGTTCAGAATTTGGACATAACACCATAAAGTAGCCTGCCTTGGCTATGTTATTTCAACAATGACAAATGAACTAATCCCCACTCATAAATGAAGTCTGGACGGATGTTCACTAGGATGCTGGTGACAGATGCTTGTGGCTGAAAAGACGTCCTTTTGAGTTTTGTATGTTGTTCTGAATATCCCAGCAATGATCACATCCCCTTTTCCTAAAACTAAGGAGTACAAAGAAAGGGAAAAAAGAAAAAGACTCACAGTCCTAAACACATAAAGAGCTTGAAGTTACAAGGAAACAAAAGGAAAGATGAAGGAGGAAGAACACTAACAAGAAGGCTCGAGAATGTGCATCCTGGCTTCCTAATCACCCAGTGCAAAGACAGAGCCATCAGATCTAGAAAGCACCTACCAGAGAGCCTGGCAGGATCGGGGATGCCTGCAAGTCACTGGCTGCCCATCACACACACACACACACATACACACACACTCACTCACACACTTTCACACGCACTCACATACACATTCACACACAGTCACTCACACTCACTCACACACACACTCTCACACACACTCTCACACACACTCTCACACACACATTCACACACATACTCACACACTGTCACTCACACTCACTCACACACACACACACTCTCTCACACACACACTCTCACACACTCACTCACACACGGATCATAGGAAAAAAATTATTGTCCTGCTCTCGATTGCAACAACCTGACCCTGTGGCTTTGTATAAGAAATATTGAAATGTATTGAATAACATTCCCAAGATAAATATTGCCTGCCAGAAGAAACAGGTCACATCATGAAAAGAGAGGGCACGATGGGAGAAAAGGGGTGGCACACACCTGTAATCCCAACACTTGGGAGGTGGGGAGACAGGCGGATCTCTGAGTTCAAAGCCACCCTGGTCTACAGAGTGAGTTTCAAGGTAGCCAAGGCTACGAAGAGAAATCCTGTGTCAAAAAACCAAAAAGGGAGTTGGGTAGGGATGGAGTGATGGCTCAGCAGTTAAGAACACTGACTGCTCTTCCAGAGGACCTGGGTTTGATTCCTAGCACCCACATGGCAGCTCACAACAATCTGTAACTCTAGCAGAAGAGCTCCAAGCCCTCCTCTGGCCTCTAGGGGCACCACAAATGCATGTACACAGATATATGCAAGCAAAACACTCATACACATAAGATAATAATAAAATGAAATCTTTAAAAATAGATAAAGAAAAGAATGGCTGGCCACAACCTGCTACCATGATTTATTAGGTGTGATTCAGTAGGGATACAGAAACTCAGACCACAGGGATATTTGCCTGTATCTTGGTTTCTAATGTGGCCTTTCATGGTCTATAACCTAGATCTCTGCTGCCCCCTGGTGGCTCAGAGACCAAAGAGCCCAAGAAAGTATTCCTTTCACTCCCTTAGGGGATTATTCATTCTTGTGTTTGTCTATCTGTACTGAGAAGCTGGTCTGTCTACACACTGATTTCCTTGACTCCCCTCAAAAGCAACTTCCCACCCTTATCACCCTACATCCCAACTTACCACTGACATCATACCACGAGAGAAAAAAAATGAGATCCAGAACAGCAGCGAGAGGTGCCAGTGCCCCCTCGATATTGCTGGGGAAAGGCACAGAGGACTCAGATTGTCAGGAAAAGGGGCAGAGAATACGGATCTTTTCCAGTCCCCACATGGGGGTCACACACCCGCTGTAAGGAGGCTGAGGGTGCAAGCGAGGGTGGCTTTTCAGAATGGTCAAAGACAGCAGATGGCTGGTAGGATCAGGATTCATAGTCACCTACTTCAGAGTTCAGGCTGAAAGGGACTTAAACTCTGAGGAAGGAAAGCTTTGCATGGCTTCTTTGGTTTAGCACTTAACAGTAGAGAGAACAGCCTAGAGGTTTCAGGAAGACCTGGAAACTTAAGTTCTCTCTATCTATCTGTCTGTGTGTGTGCATGCATGCGTGCGTGCGTGCGTGAGTGCGTGCATGTGTGTGTGTGTGTATGCGTGCGTGTGTGTGTGTATGCGTGCGTGTGTGTGTGTGTGTGTGTGTGCGTGTGTGTGTCAGTCTGTCTATCTCCCTCTCTTGTTTCCTCCTTCCCTCCTTCTCTCCATCCCTCCTTCCCCTCATACCATTGCTATGCACACCAGCTGCACAGGGTAGCTCCTATCTGGCAGAAGAAGAGGTCTGGCTCACAGGCCCCACCCTCCAGCCCTATCCTCACCTGGAAGAAGATCACCTTACAGCACTTGAAGATTCCCAGGGGCAGACAGCATCAACTGCTCTCCATGAAGTCTCTCTCCATACTGACCCTTAGTCATGTGCATAAAGTACAAGGTACCGTGCACTCAGGGACTCGGGAGACAAAAGGGTCCCTCGAACCCATGAGTTCAAGACCAGTCTAAGCAACACAAGCAGCACTCCATCTCAAAGGAAAACCACGTGCTTTTTATTTTGATGTTTAATTAAACAATAAAGTGATAAGAACAACAATGGAAGAGGGATCTCAGCAACTGTATCCATCAGATATCAGCCCTTCTCAGAGTCATGACAGTCCTGGGCCAACCACTTGTCATCAAATCAGCCAGCTCCAACACATGTCTACTCAGAAATGTGAGTGTTCTCAACACAGCAATACCCAGAATTCCACTTAGCACTTTTTGTATTTATTGCATTGTGTGTGTGAATGTGTATGTGGGGGAAAGGGTGCATGTAACAGTGCACATGTAAAAAGGTCAGAGGACAATTTGCTGAAGGAAAGTCTTCCCTTCCACCATGTGAGTCCAGGGGACTGAACTCAGGCCATTAAACCTGGGTGCGAGCCCTTTTACCCACTGAGTCAACTCACCAGCCCACACCCAGCAGCATCAACCCTGATTTTAATGGCATGCTCTCCTGAGCCAGTACAGCATCTCCATTACCCAGTGAGCCAGGCAGCATAATTTCCTTCTCTGCTGATAGAATTGTGGTTTCCTGTCTCATCCGTGGAACGAAACATAACTAATCAGCAACCCTCTGCTTTCCTGGCCTCTCCATGGCAAGTTCTCAGGGAGCCATCATAGGAAGAGGGCCAGGTGAGGTAAAGATCTTCCTGCATGAAGCTAGAGCGATGACTCAGCAGTTAAGGACACCCACGCGGTGGCTCACAGCTGTCTGTAACTCCAGTTCCAGGGGACCTAACACCCTCACCTAGACATACATGAAGTGAAGGCAAAACACCAGTGCACACAACATAAAAAGAAGCAAGTGAAATGTTGTTTTAAGCAGCTCCTTCTGCGGTGCCATCAACACCTTGCTCTGCCATCCAGTTTCAGTCCGCCCTCCTGTACCTGCGAAGTGATGCGGCTTTGGGCTGCCGAGCCGGCCAGCCTTGTGCTGTTTCTTTCTGGGTGTTTGTTGACTTTACTGCTTGCAACCCAAAAACTCTCAATTGATGTACTGAAAAATTCCATTCATCCTTTCATTCACTCAAATATTTATTGAGAGTTATGACGGGGAGCTATTTAAGAAACAGAAATTTTACCAGGCCATGATGGTACACATCTTTAATCCCAGCTCTCAGGAGGCAGAGCTGGGCAGATTTCTGTGAGTTCAAGGTCAGCCTGGTCTACAGAGTGAGTTCCAGGACAGCCAGAGCTACACAATGAAAACCTGTCTTAAATAGCAAAACAATATTGTGTGTGTGTGTGTGTGTGTGTGTGTGTGTTTTATGTAAAAGAGTGTCATTGTCCAACATGAGATGATTGGTGAAATAAATTAGCCATTGCATGGAGGTCTAGTAAAGAGTTATGTGTGATACTGCAATCTTGAAGAAATCTAAGCATTTCGGAAGTGCATGCTGATTTGTTTGGTGCATAGCAAGGTGAAAGAATCAGAAACCATGTCAAAGATCCACCCTCAGCCAAGATGTACAGTGGAAACACACCTTGAGCACAACAGACAAGATGGTGCTGCACACCTGTAATCCAAGCACTAGAGAAGTGGGCATGAGAAGATCAAGGCCAGCCTCAGCTACACAGAAATTTGAGGCTACAAGAAACTTCAAAAATCAAAGCAGCAAGCAAAAGCAATCTTGCTATAAGACAATGACATTTTTAATATCTTACAGAAAACAAAAGAGGAATGTAGAGACACGTTTTAAAAGTACGGTGACTCCTTGGCAAGAGTCAGGGAATGAGTACAAGCCTGACAACCTGAGTTCGATCCCCAGAACCCACACAGTGAAGAGAAACAACCTCTCAAAGCTGTCTGAAAACTACATGTGCACTGTCACATGCAATTACACACACACACACACACACATACACACACACACTTATTATTTTTTAAAATTTAAAAGAAAAAAGTTGTTTTACCTTGTTATGCATCAAACAAGTCAGGATATATTATTTCCAAAATGACTGAACTCATCCAAGATTGCCTAAGGTGTTACACATAACTTTTTTACTAGACCTCCATGCAATGACTAGTTCATTTAACTAGTCGTTTCATATTGGACATTAATACTCTTCTTCGTATATGTTACTTTAAAAAAAAAAAGAGTCTACTATCTCTCTTTAGTCCATAGGTTTTGCAATGCCAAAGTCATGCTCAGGTAGACCCACTGGCTCCCCCCGTCTCATCCGAGCTCTTACACAGGACAGACAAGAAGGTCCAAGCCAGCATTTTATTGGGAAAGAGAAACATCTGTCCCCAGGGCTGCTCCGTGTTCTCCAGACAGCAGTAGAAGCAAAGAGATGCCCTGATATCAGTGGGAGTGTCACAAGCCCCAGGATATCACCCCTTCTTGGCTTCCAGAAGATTCCAGGAGTTCTAGACAAGCCAGAACAGCTAGGGTACTTGAGCCTCTGCAAGTAGAAGACATTTCAAGTCACAGCTGTGCCTTCCCTGCCCCAGAAGCCCAGTCCTTTCCTTCCCTTCCACCCTGGGGAGGCTAGATGGACTTCCTAATGCTTCTGAAGACTCCTGTCATGTAGACATTGGCCTCATATCTCCTGTAATCAAATAGGAATAGTGTCTGCTCTGGTTTTTGCCCTGCCCCCAATCCTCAAGGCCCCAACACGTCACAGGTATTCCCACCCTCTCTCACATGTCACATCTGCTTAGGCTTTAGAGCCTGGATCAAATCCCATCTCTTCCAGAAAGACCTCCCCACAGACAGCCACAGCCACTGTAAGCACTGTAATCCCACAGTGTCCATAGAAGGGGTGTGGCCATGACTCAGGATCTCTCTCTCCAGCTACATTCCTCATGGCCTTCATAAGTCACCTTCCCAGTAGCTAACAAGGGAGTGTTAACAGCCCTGAAGCCTGTTGACTTCATAGCTGGTCAAAGGTCAGCATGGGCAATACTCACCCAATTCAGAATTGGACTCACTGGTCCAGCTGGAGTCTGTGGGCTGTTTGAATGGCTGGAGAGGGGGGATGCAGAATCGGCCACAGCCTGACTTACAGCACTTCTCCCCCGGTTGACAGTTCTCATCCACCATGCAGTTGACAATACACAGGCCCACCAGAATCCTGGGACAATGGCCATCCCGCCCTGTGGAGAACAGCAGCACAGGGTAAGGCACGAGTTGCTGGCTCCTCTCGTCCCACATTCCCACCTAGACTTTAGATTCAGGGCCCAGGTGAATCAACCCCACTTCCCACCTAGATGTGACTGGAAGCAGGGATGCTGGAGGACTGAGACACCACACAGCCAAACACCCTTCACATCGGAGCTGGCAAACTCCCACAGCCAGTTCCTTACAGGCTGGTCGAATACAGACTTGCCAGTAGAGCCAAGAGCTGAGACAAGGTCCAGCCTTCTCCCTACGATTGAAGTTCATGTCCCTGCTTCATTTGCCACCCTAGAAGAGGTTTTATGCCCCTGCTTTTTGCCACCATAACTCTGTGTCTTCTTTCACCAAAGTGTGTGTGGGGGGTTGTGTAGTATGTGTTGTGTGTGAGTGGTGTGTGTGGTGTGTATGAGTGCTGTGTCTATTGTGAGTGTGTGTATGTGTGTGTGTGTGGTGTGTATAGTATGCGTTGTGTTGAGTGGTGTATGTGGTGTGTATGAGTGATGTGTGTGTTGTGAGTGTGTGTGTGGTTTCTGTAGTATGTGTTGTATTGAGTGGTGTGTGTGAGTGATGTGTGTATTGTGTGTATGTGGTTTGTGTAGTATGTGTTTGTTGAGTGGTGTGTGTGTTGTATATGAGTGGTGTGTGTGTGTGTGTGTGTGTGTGTCTGTGTGTGTGTGTGTATTTGCCATGGTATCATTTCTCAATGGTACAAGAACAGCACAGATTCAGGAGGAAGTCCTTTAATGTTCAACTTCTCTCCTCTCAGATCAACAATATGCAGTAAGATACTTGCTTTCAGTGTTGGGCCGGGCAGCCACAACTCACAGTCAGCCATTGGGCTACCATGACATTCAACTGACATGCTACACTGGGCTCTATATTATATGTGTTACAAAGGTAGAAGGCTTTGGTGCATTGAGGATACAAGCTAGTCATCTGAAAGGAGGGAACCTTAATTGAGAAAATGCCTCCAGGTAGGTATTTTCTTAATCAGTGATTGCCATGGGAAGGCCTAGCCCACTCTGGGTACCACACCTGGGCTGACAGTCCTGGCCTCTGCAAGAAAGCAGGCTGAGGTAGGCATGGTGGCACATGCTCTTGGAAGGCACAGGCAGGCAGATCTCTGTGTTGGAGGCCAGTCTGGTCTATAAATCAAGTTCCAGGACAGCCAGGCCAGTTACACAGAGAAACCCTGCCTCGAAGACCAAAACAAAACAACAGAAGAAAGCAGGCTGAGCAAGCCATGGGAACAGGCCAGTAAGCAGCACCCTCCATGGTCCTGTCCGCTCCTGCCTCCAGGATCCTGCCCTGTTTGAGTTCCTGTCCTGACTACAATGTGCAAGTGGAATGCAAAGAAGCCCTTTCCTCCTCAGCTTGTTTTTGGCCATGGTGTTTCATCGAAGCAATAATAACCCTGACCAGGACAAGAGGACTAAATGGACTTTCAACTTGTAAGACTTGCCATTTCCAGTGGATTTATCAGATAGAAACCCATTACATCAAGGAGCATCTGTAATTCCTCGTTTGTCTTTCCTAACCAGCTGCATGTACATAGGGACAAAGGGTTGGACATTGCATGGGAATATAAACAGACTAACTGGCTGGGAATATAGCTCAGCAAACACACTGAGTGTTTGCCCAACATCCATGAAGTCTTGGATTTAGTCCCCAGCAGGGCATAAACTGGGTGTGGTGGTACACACCAGGGACCCCTGCATGCAGGAATAGAAATACATCAGAAGTTCATGGTCATCTTGAGCTACATAGAAAGTTCAGTCAGCATGGGTTGCATGAGACCCTGTCTCAAAATAAAAATATTGAAGGGGGGGGAGAAGAAGAGACATCTGAGACCAATTAATAGTGTCTCATGCCTGTAAAGTCAGCACATGGCTCTGACTATGTGCTGGGCTACATAATGAGACCCTATCTCAAAAACAAACAAAAATTGATCAGAAAAACCAGTGATATTGGGCAACTTCTTTACTGACTGGGCAGAGGAAACAGGCCCCAAGAGGGGATCGTTTGCCCCAGTCACAAAGTACACCCACAGCAGAGCCCAGACCAAAGCTTCATTACCACACTTCCCTCTAGTTCTTTCCATGCCAACTTTGACCTTTAACCATAGAAGGAAGGATCACATTGGGTTTGAGGCCAGGGGATGGTGAAGACGACAGCTGCCCCTCCCCTCCAAGGTGTCCACAGGAATCCCATACAAACTGACCTGGGACTCAACGGGCGCTTGTGGCTCTCCTTCTAAAGAACCAACTTACCTCCCTGAATGTCTCCTCGGCAGGCATGGCCACAGCCCGTGCTGCAGCATTTGTGTCCCTGGGGGCAAGATGTGTCCCCATCACACAGCTCCTCACATGGAAGAGGGTCAGCAGGACATCCAGCACTTAATTCTGCCATAGAACCAAAACATCGAAACTCAGATGTCAGGAACATAAAATACATTTTTCAGTGGACATAAATTTTCAATATGCAATATGCCCTAATCTTCCATGTTCATTCTATTTCTTCCAGCCATGAGCTACTACACTGGTTTTGCTGTTTGCAGTATGAAAACGCACTGTTTAGCTCTAATCCACCACAGCAAGCACATACATTACATTCCCTTCTCTCATACTGTGACAGACACACAATGTTTGACCCCGGTCAACTCTGTCTCCTGGAATGTGTGCCCTGGTGAAGCCCCTTTCCTCACTGACTTGGGCTTCACCCGATGGCTTACTTTTACCAGAGGGGCATTAGCAAGCATAGTGCAAGCAGCAAGTGAAGAGCGCATGAAGAGGACACGGGAGCCTGTCCTCTTGGAATACCCCTCTCAGAAGCCAGCCACGGCGCTCACACTTGAGCTACACTGTGGTGTGATGCCATGCACTGTGGACAGGGAGCATGGGAGACGCGCATCCCCAGGGAGCTAAAGAGAAGGCTCGGTTGATGAAATGTTTGCTATGCGTTACTGAACTTGATCCCCGTGTCTGTGCAAAAGCGGCACCCGCAGCGGGCTCACAGGCCAGTCAGCCTGGCTCAAAAAACACGAGGTGTACAGCTTCTGAGAAATGATACTCCAAGCTGACGTGTGGCCTCCACAGGCATGTGCACGTACACACAATATGCAAAGATACACAAACTAGTTGATCAATTAAGATGACTAAATCAGCCAGACGAATGAACACCTTTAATCCCAGCACTCAGAAGGCAGAAGCAGGTGGGTCTCTGTGAGTTCAGGGCCATCCTGGTCTACAGGGTGCGTTCCAGGGCAGGCAGGATTACACAGTGAAACCCTGCCTCAAAAAGCCAAATAAGTAAATGAGAAATAGCATTCCAGACATTCCAGTTCTACTGAGTTCACAGCTGCATACATGAATGCCACATGGGTGATCAACTATCAGCAGAGCCTGAGCCACCCTCACAGACGTGGTGAGGAATTAACTATTGTCTCAGGTCACTATGTGGGGACAGTTGCTATGCTGTAAATGAGACTCATTCATAAAAAAAACCCCGGTCTGGTCTAAGAATCAATGAGTCTAACCCAAATATTCATTTCCTCCATATTCTCTTGCAAGCAGTGGTAACCACACACTAAGATGCTTTTGTATCTTTTGTTTATTTTTCAAGCCAGGGTTTCTCTATATAACTTTGGAGCCTGTCCTGGAACTCGCTCTGTAGACCAGCCTGGCCTTGAACTCACAGTGATCCACCTGCTTCTGCCTCCTGAGTGTTGGGATTAAAGGCATGCGCCACTACCATCTGGCTGTATCCTTTTTTAAATAATTTATTTTCACTTTATGTGCACTGGTGTTTTGCCTACATGTATGTCTGTGTGAGGGTGCCAGATCCCCTGGAACTGGAGTTACAGACAGTTGTAAGCTGTCATGTGGGTGCTGGGAATTGAACCCAGGTCCTCTGGAAGAGCAGCCAGTGCTCTTAACTGAGCCATCTTCCAGCCCCTGCTTTTGTATTCTTGACACAAACTGCTACTTCACTTCTTTCCTCTCCAAAAGACATACATGCTGTAGAGATGTAAGGCAGCCTTCTGTGAAGTAGGAAGCCACTAGCATGAGAACAAAGCAAGGACTAGCAGAGAGAGAGAGAGAGAGAGAGAGAGAGAGAGAGAGAGAGAGAGAGAGAGAGAGAGGTTCTTCCTTCTTGGTAGCATCACTGAGTTGCCATGACAGCTCTGACACCCACCTCAGAATTCTTGTAAACTGAAGACAGTGAATCGCTCTTCTGTTATGTTCTGCTGTCCCTAGCCAAATACATTCTAGATGCATCCCTTCATCACTTCTGTGACAATAACAAAATCTAGAGAAGACAGTGGGGTCAATCCAGAACTACAAAGTAAACTAGCAGCTAAGCAGAACAAAATTCAGTTGCCTACTTGCAATGAACTGTATTCTAATACGCCATCCTTAAAAGATGCAGACAACTTGGCCCCAGGAGTAGGCACACCCAAAGAAGACTACATCTAAGGCAAACTAACTCACCATGACTCATTCCGGTTCTTTTAATGTGGAGAGAGGTGATGAGCAATTAAAAGTTTTATAGAAAACCAAAACATGCCTAACCCAGAGCCTCGAAAGCAACAGATTGTGTATGATTGCACATGACTGGCTCCAGAGAGTCTACCATGATGGAAAGAGCAAGTGTTGGACTCTAAAGATGAACCATAATAGTCTTGTGTCCTGGTATTTTCCTGCACAGGAATATTGTGTTGCTGTGTTATATCAAAACTATATACCCTGATATTTTTAATTTGGGAAACATGGTTACTATAACTACCTGATGTATCTCACTACACTTGTTCATCGTCTACTTGACCAACACTTCAATACACTTGACAAAAATAAAATTGATTCTGCCACTGAGAGAGAGCTTTATATGGAAATCACCCCAGAGGAAAATTCCACTGTCACCAGCTTCTTATGGAGTTGAACAATGAACCTGTAAAGAGGGTCACCGTACTTACCAGGTGTTGCCATTTTAATGAGCTTAGCTCTGATGGGACAAAGGCCAGGAACCTCTGCTCCTCTCTGTTCTTCTCCCAGTAGTATACTCCAGACATAGTAGAGACTTTACCTCTGCTCTCTCCTAGCCCAGCTTCCCTTGAGCTCCCTTGAGAGGCAGGCTGGGGTCCTAAGGGTCAGAGGTCGGAACACATCCCCTTGGACCATGGCTCAGTACTACCATCCTCTTTCATAACTCAAATCCCTGTCAAATAAGTAATTCCTGTCAGTTCAAACACATGGAGTTAATGGGACTTCACTACCTCCAAGTCAGACTATGCCAGCCTCATTTTTTTTATTTTATTTTATGTTCACTGGTATTTTACCTGCATGTATGTCTGTGTGAGTGTCAGGGACCTCTGACTGCCGGCCTCGGTGTCCCCTCAGGGTTTAGGCAAGATGCTAAACAGCAATCGCAAGGCTTGTTAAAGGGATCTGAGGGTGAATGAATTGGCTCATACGTGTGTCTCCTCTTTACTCTTCAAAAGTTCTCTCTCCATCCCACAAGGGTTCCAATTAGCAATTCTCTGACAATAGCAAGGATGCCAGGCATGCATTTCTCAGGGCCAAGAAAACAGATAAGATCTGACAAAACTGGTGACTTATGTCTCAGAGAGGATGTGACTTGTGAAACATCCGGGCAACTTAAGAGGTGGAAAGGGTTAATGGAGTGAAAGGCTACTAAGTGTAAAATCCAGAGCCTGGTATTTCCAGCCCCTGGGCCAAGCAATGACTTTGTTTACCCTGACACCCAGTAAGAAGAATTTCCTCTCTGGGGCCTTTTCAGGAATACAAGGCACCCAGGACACAGTCTACATATCAAGATTATACAGCCAAATGAAAAGTCATCCTCCTGACTTCCCACAGATATATGTAGATTGGGAATGTATTTGTGAGATACACACACATACATATTCAGGCTAGGGAAAGACATTTAAAATTACAGGCAGAAACAACAGATATCCTCGAGTCTGTATTTCTTGCAGACTTTGCAAGGCAAGTTTCCTCCATCAGAAGTTAATTCTGGTGAGTTGACACCTAGAATATTAATTGCTATTTAATAAATGATGAAGGCTCTCAGTATATGAGGGTGTCAGAAGCCCTGGAACTGGGGTTACAGACAGGTATGAGCTGCCATATGGGTGCGGGGAATTGAACTAAGGTCCTCTGTAAGAATAGTGTGTGCTCTTAAGCACTGTGCCATTTCCCTGACCCTCATACTTCACATCCCTTATTTATTTATTTATTTACTTACTTACTTACTTACTTATTTATTTATATGTATATGGGTGTTTGTCTGCATGTATGTCTATATACATGCCTGATACCCAAAGAGGCCAAAAGAGGCTATTGAATCCTTCCTGGGGTTGTAGACAGTTATGAGCTACCATGTGAGTATTGGGTTAAACCTGTGTCCTCTGGAAGAGCAGCCAGTACTCTTAACAGCGGAGACATCTCTCCCGACCTACCTACCATCCTCATTTTTAAGCTAGACAGTGTTTGTACTCCCTCAAACCCTCCTGAAACCAGGTTCCTGAGAAGTTCTAAGCTTTCACCCTTGTCCTGCCCCCCCCCAGGAACCAGCAATGCCTTTGGACAGCATGCCCTGTCCTCAATGTCTTGGTTCTGCTAACTTAGGTGAACTGAGCCATTACAAAGTATGGGGCTCAGTAAGCTCACAACTAATTTTGCTACCAGGGATGAGGACAAGAAACAGGACTGGTAGCTAGAATTGATGCTCACCCCCAACCTCCATCTGCACCTCTCCCAACACCCCAGCTGTCACCATAAAGCAGGGAGACTGTAGTCAGTAATGGGCTTGACTCCTGCATCAGCTCCAGTGTTTTAGCTCCCTAGTGGGCCCCTTCTGTGAGAGCATCACTGCCCCGATCTCCCTGGCGCCAGACACTTCACATCATCCTTGACACGCCCTCTCCCTCAGTGTCCACAGCCATTTACTTCTCTACCTGGTCCTGTCAACTGCCTTTAAGTCTCTGCTTTTCCATGCCTGCATTATGGCGACCTTCTTGGCCCAAGCCATGATCGTCTGTCACCCAGTCTGCCATGATGGCTGCCGTCTGGTCTTCCATCGTCTGTCTACACTTGCCCCCATCCTCTTCACACACCAGAACAGCCTTTTCCAAATGAAACCTGGAATGGGCCTCTCCCTCATTCAGACTCACCATGTAGCTGAGAATGGCCTTGAACTCCTGATCCTCCTGCTTCTACCTGGAGATGCTGGGATTATGAGCATTTCTACCACACGGGGCTTAGGTACTTTTTTACAAATGTTTTTAATTTGTATCTATTATTGCATGTGTACAGTATGTGTGGTTGTTAGTGCATGAATGCCACAGTGCCTGTGCTGATCAGAGAACAGCTTCTATAGTCAG